CCTCCTGGGTTAGTTTGCTTCTTCTTGTTCTAGAGCTTTCAGGTGTGCTGTTAAGTCACTAGTGTGAGATTTCTCCAATTTCTTTATGTGGGCATTTAGTGCCCTGAATTTTCCTCTTAGCACTGCTTTCATAGTGTCCCATAAGTTTGGGCATGTGGTATATTCATTTTCATTGATCTCTAGGAACTCTCTTATTTCTTTCTTTATTTCTTCCTTAACCCCTTGGTGATTTAGTTGAGCATTTTTCAGTTTCCATGAGATTTTAGGCTTTCTGTAGTTTTTTTTTTGTTGTTGAAATCTAACTTTAAACCATGGTGGTCTTATAGAAAGCAGGAGGTTATTCCAAATGTTTTGTATCTGTTGAGATTTGCTTTGTGGCCAAGTATGTGGTCAATTTTAGAGAAGGTTCCATGGGGTGTTGAGAAGAAGGTATATTCTTTTTTGTTAGGATAGAATGTTCTGTAGATATCTATTAAGTCCATTTGTGTCATAACATCAGTTAAGTCCTTTATTTCTCTCTTTAGTTTCAATTTTGTAGATCTGCCCAGTGGTGAAAGTTGGGTGTTGAAGTCTCCCACTATTAATGTTTGGGGTTTTATATGTGGTTTAAGCTTTAGTAATGTTTCTTTTACATATGTGGGTGCCCTTGTGTTTGGGGCATAAGTGTTCAGAAATGAAACTTCATCTTGGTGGATCTTTCCTGTGATGAGTATGCAATGCCCTTCTTGATCTCTTTTGATTGATTTTAGTTTGAATCTATTTTGCTGGATATTAGGGATGGCTACACCCGCTTGCTTCTTAAGACCGTTTGATTGGAAAATCTTTTCCCAGCCTTTTATTCTTAGTTAGTGTCTATCTTTGAATTTGAGATGTGTTTCTTGTATGCAGCAGAAAGAAGGGTCCTACTTTTGTATCCATTCTGTTAGCCTGTGTCTTTTTAGAGGTGAATTATTCCATTGATATTAAGGGATATTAATGACCAGTGATTGTTCATTCCTGTTATCTTTTGGTGGTAGTATGTGTGTACTTCACCTCTTTGGGGTTTACTGCTGTGGTGTTTTCTATTGCATTTGGTTATTTAATTGCTCTGAGAAGTGGTTTCTTCTACAATGGCAGGAAAGGTCTGAGCTGAATTTGCCATGGGGCCTGCATGAGGCCTCCCAGGGAGTTTCCCAATAGCAGAGGCAAAGGATTACCTCCTCTGACCCTTGCTCATCTTCATTCCTTTGTCCCGTGTTTACCCTTACTACACCTTCTGCATAATTCAGAAGGTATGGGCAGTCTCTTGCCATTGTTCCTTGAAAACATTGTTTCTAGGAATGCCTTGTTTACACTCTCTTTTCAAATGACCTTGTTTACCACATTTAAAACTTCTGACATTATTACTTTTCCTCAAAGCTTTTGACATCACCCTCCTATCCACATATCATCATGTTCATGGGACTCAATATTAATTGTGTCCCTGTTCCAAACCTCCAAGCATACTGATCTTGACTTTAATAGCCTAATTATCTTTTGCATGCTGCATTCATGTTCTCAAAAGCCAAACATTCAATTATTATCTGTCTAGCTTCTGAACTGGCATCATTCTATTTACTGCTGAAGACAACCTTTGTAAGAAATCTGGAAAGGATTCTTTGGGGCCTTATATGTCTTTGGTAAATGACTCAGGTTTTTTTTTTTTTTGCTTCCTCATTTCTGCCCCATGCATTCATGGCTGCCATGTGGCATAGAATTAGGGTTTGGTTATCATATAAAGATTGTCTTTGTATATCAGCATAATTGCCCTCTCTGAGAAGCTGATCCTGGGTAATTTCGACACCTGTAGCCCTGCATCATTGTTCTATTGTTTTAGCCTCCTCTTTAAACAAGGTTCTCCATTGTAACTGTGGACTGGCCTCTAGGACAGCTATAATTAATTCTTTCTAGTCCTGAGGGCTATGTTTATTACAAGTTGACCACAAATTTAACATCTGCTTTGTAAGTTGAAAATGCATGCCGTATGATACTATAGCTTCTTTGAATCTCCTTAAATCTAACATTTCCCTTGGAGTCCACTTAGCTTTCACATGAGCATTTGGCAGTACCTGTAAGGTTGCTAATTTTGGTTGTTTGAAAACAGGCTGTCCATCCGGGCGGTGGTGGCACACGCCTTTAATCCCAGCACTCGGGAGGCAGAGCCAGGCAGATCTCTGTGAGTTCAAGGCCAGCCTGGACTACCAAGTGAGTTCCAGGAAAGGCGCAAAGCTACACAGAGAAACCCTGTCTTGAAAAACAAAAAGCAAAAAAGAAAACAGGCAGTCGCTCTGTAACTGTATAATTCAATCCTGATATAATTTAACCTTTAAAGTCTAAATAAAAAGGTTCAAATCTTAATGTAAACTATATACAATAAGTATGATTATCAAGTATTGTTCAGGAAAAACAAAGAGTAATAATATAAACAAAACTGGAATTACAACCAACAAGAATAATATCAAGCAAGAAAGACATGCTAAATGTCCAGAACATGGGTAAATGCCAAATTACAGAGATTACTCCTATAGCTGTCCTGTCTTGAAGATTCTAACTTGAGTACTAATATGTTATAGCTATGATATGAGAAGATTTTAACCTTAACTGTCTAGTCTTCAACTCTATCAAAGATCAGAGAAGAAACATTATAATACCAGAGAAAACAAAAAAAATGCAAGCAAGCATTTTCTGAAATTCTTGTGAGAATAGACAGAGACAGTTGGCAGCCTGGACAGTCACCTAAAGTTCCTTGGCATTGTTGTGGCATGCAATTTGTCTACAGACCTAGAATATCTGACAGACCATTTTCAGAAGCAGGAATTTTTAAAGACAATCTTAACCTGTCTTGGCAAAGTTCACTAGTCACTTTTCCTTGTTTTCCTTAACTTGTCAGTGGTCTTAGTTTTTACGATATGGATGACAGGTGAAGAGCTCATACATGATGAGTTGGAAACAGAGCCAGGAACCCCTGAAGGTGAGTCTCTTCTTTGCTGCCTTTTATTCCATTCAGATCCACAGTACCTGGATGACTCAGCACACTACAGTGCTGATCTTTCCCTTGCATCTCAGATAATTCTACTTGGAAACACTCTTACAGATGCATCTAACCACTAAGATAAACAAAATCAGAAAGAATAGGTCCCACTTATTTCCTTCTTGGCCTGTTGGATTAAGGACATCAGGAGCTCAAAGTGGCTTGGGAGAAGTCTGAGCTTCCAGGTCAATGAACTGTTTGTTCTGGCTCCAAACAGGAGCACTGCCCCCACCTGACCACTCACACTGGAATCAAAACTTCTAGGCCAGAAAAACTTAAAATCGTGGAAACAGATAACAATTTTTTTCCCAAGATGTCACTAGGGGTGATAGTGATTGATTGGATTCTTTTCTATTTCCTTTTCTAACACCTGGTGCCTACATCCAAGTCAGGGCTATGGAGAAAAATACTTCCTGGTAAATCCTATCCCATGTTGTCCATTCCACAGAGGAAGTGGCCCAATGTAGTCATTCTGTCATGAAGTAGTTGGGTGGCCAGGCTGAGAAAATGGTGATACCTCTGGGCAGATCTGGCATTTAGTAGCAACTGTAATCAGGTTAAAAGTGAAGACAAATTTTGTGGACATTTACAGGGGACAAACAGATCTTCACATTCTTTGCTCCTTTGCAGATCTGTCCAAATACTTCTTCCAAAATGTCTTTCTAATATTTCTTTCTTTTTTGTGTTTTTATTTTGTCTTCTCTCATACAATCCCATCTGAACATAGTCTCCCCTCCTTCCACTCCACATATATGCACTACTCCTCTGTTTCCCTTCAGAAAAGCACAGGTCTCCTGGGCATATCAAATGAACACAAGATAACAAAATGTAATAATAGTAGGCACAAACCCTCTTATCAGGGCTGGAGGAGCCAACTCAGAAGGAACAAAAGGTTGCAAGATCAGACAAACAGTTCAGAGACTCCCCATACTTCTGCTGCTAGGACTCCCACAAAACCCCTGAGCTAAACAAGCACAGTGTGTACACAAGGACTTAGAACAGACCCAGCAGGCTCTGTGATTGCCTCTTCAGTCTCTGTGAACCTCCATGGACCCTGTTTAGTTGAATCTCTGTGCTCCTTTGACATGATATCTTTGATTCACCCTCCAATCCTGCCTTCTCTTACTTGAGGTTCCCTGAGCTCTATCTAATGTTTGGCTGTGGACCTCAGTATCTGCTCTCATCAGATGCTGGAGAAAGCCTAACTGATGTCAATTGGGCTAGGCATCAAACTATGAGTATAACAGAATTTCATTAGGGATCATTTCACTGAATTTTGTGTGTGTGTAGGAGTAAGGACTCAGCACAAACTTCCACAGCTGAGCAGAGCTGGATAGACTAAAATAGGATTCTTCAAACAGAAACACCACCAGAATCCACTAACTGATTTTAAAATTTTTATTCATTTGATATTTTATTTGGGTAGGTACTGTCTACAGAGATGGATGTGCCCATGGAGACAAGAGGAGGACTGAAAAAAGGGTCCTCTGCAAGAGCAATAATTGCTATTGCTACTGACTCATCTCTCCAGTCCCACACACAGAGTTTTGAGAAAAAGTCTTCATTCTCTTCTACTTCTCTTGTAAGCAAACATTCATTTTTGTTTGGTCCTTTGCTGAGCCCTTGGTCATATGTTCTTCTCAGTCCAATCCAGACAGGTTTCTCCAAAGAAGCCCTCTTGGGATGTCCATGGGGCCAGCAACTAAATTGAATAGCAGTTTCCAACTCATGAGACAAATTAACAAACCACAAAGTATACCAGTGTCCAGTCTCTACCTCTCTCTAATCGGCCATTCAACACATTAACAGGTGTATTAAATCCTGAACCACCATCTGTCTTTCCCTACTTTCACTGAAAATACTCCAAAAATCCCATAGTCTACCCAGGTGTCATTGGTAGTCTATACTGACTGCTTCTTGGAGACAAGTAGAGGTCATAGCTGACCAGGTTCTAGGATCGCTTCATGCGTTTGAGTGGGGGCTCCAGGAAAGTATCCTGTGCAGAAGACAGGGAGCCATAAGCTTCAGCCACCAAGTGGGGGTATGAGCCCTCCATTATCTTCCAGCCTAAGGTCTCAGAGACCTCAGAAACATGAGCTGTAATGAAATCCAGTGCCAGGGTTTTCAGCTGCCATGAGCTGTGGAGGTCAGCCAGGAAGAGAGTGTGGGCAGCATTCTCCACAGAGAGGTCCCTGCAGAGGGCATCCTCACACATGACCTTCAAACGCTCCAGGCCATACTTGTCAGCAGCTGCCAGCAGAACATCTGCCATGCTTTCCAGGTCTGGTGCCTTTCCGGTGTAAATGAAGTCCATCATTGTCTTAATGACTTGCGGCTCCAGGTCATGGATCTCGACGCGGCTACTTTTGCTCTCCTTCATGTCATGTTGAAACATGGCTCTGAAAACTGGAGAGTGAGCTGCTAAGATGGCCTTGTGAGCCTGAAATTCCTGGCCAGATACCACCAGGCAGCAGTCTGTGAATCGGGAATTTTCCCCCAGCTCTCCTAGCTCATCTGCCAATGTGCAGCTTGGAACCTGCATCCCTCCCATTGTGTTCTGGTCAGAGAGGCTGAAGGAGTCCTGGACCTCGCTCACCTTGCAGAGAAGGATGAACCCATCATCTGCGAGAACCAAAGAAGCATGGGATAAGAGGAAATTTAAAAGGATGAACTTTTTGAATCCCCAGTGCCAGCATGGCAAGAACCTAAAGCCCTTCTGGCTCCCCCACCTTGGATTTCCTTTCCTTCAGTGTTTAAGACTTTGCCCAAATATGACTCTTTAGACAGCTGAGCAACACTAGGTAAACTGACAGGTAATTTACACTTCCTTCATCCACTCCCTTTGGGTTTACTCTCAAACACCATTTGTCATAGGCACTTATTAAGAAAGTTGGGCTTCTAATGTGTTCCCGAATTTCCTCCAGAATAAAACAAAAGCTGCTGATGGTCCACCTGTAGGAGAAATTCTGGATGGTGATCTGTGTGTAATCCTAGCTCTGGGCTATCCTGTCCTCTGACATTTCTCCTGGAGGTAGTTTGAAGGTTCAACTGAATCCAAAATGAGGAACTAGCAATTGTGTTATCTCTACCCTGTGGGACAGAAGAATACACACAGATGTAGATTTTTAGTTTCTGTTTCTCCTCTGTTCCTTCCTCTATGAGTGTGGAAACTTGAGTCTCTGAAATTTTCTATCCAGATTTCAATAGTAGATTCAGAGAAGACAGTCTAGGCTACTAGAGACTGTTAGATCACTCCATTTTTTTCAATAGGTAACTAGTTTTGACCATTAAATACAACTTTTGAAAAATTGGATCATTTTATACACTCATATCAAAAATGTACTTCAGTTCTCCAAAGTAACAGCACATGTACACGGAATCTCTCTGGGTATGAAGGAAGTGGATTTATTAGAATGACTTAAGGCTGCAGTCCCATTAATCCCACATTGGCTAGCCGTGAAGAAAAAGTCCAAGAATCAGGTACTTACTCAGTGCAGGAGGTTGGAAGTGTTGGCTGGTCTTCAGTATATGCTGGGATTCCAAAGAAAAATTCTAACATCAGGGAAGAAATGGACTTGCTGCAAGGTGAGGGCAAGCAGGCAAAGAGAAAGAGCTTCCTTCCTCCATGTCCTTTTATATGCTCCCAAGAAGGGTGTGGCCCAATCTAGGGTGTGTCTGCCAGACTCAAGACTGGATTAAAGGTGTGTGTCTTCAGGCCTTGAAATCAGGGTTAAATGTTCCTGTCTTTCTATCTGTAAATTCATATTCGAAGTGGATTTACCTACTTCAATTTAAGAAAAAAACTTTCTCACAGGTTTGCCCTCCATGTTCGGATTTTTGTTATTCTGTGTCTAATTAAGTTGGAGACCAAAAGTAACCATCACAAGTGTATTTTGTTTATTGTGCTATATGCAGATCCTAAATACTTCTCAATTTAGTCATGTTGACTGTTTAGATGCAGCTTCTCTATACCTTGTATTTTACATTTTTAACTTGTGAGTTCTGTCCTCTTCAAACTTTGAACTTCCATGCTATTCTGCAGGGCCTTAAAAGTGTGAGAGTATTCTGGTTTCCAGAAGAATATATTCAACAGTTCCTGAAGTATGGGTTTTGAGAGCGTTCCCCTTTGAAATGGGATTTGTAAAATGCTCCCCACATCTATTATCTTTCTCCAGTTCATCATGTTTGGAGGGACTCACTAAGCCTAGAGAACAGGAAAATAACTTCAGTGATTCAATCTACTAAGCAATTCCCAGCCTAGGTCTCCTGAAAGTCTGGATCCAATGCTGCTCACCCCTCAATACAGGATAAATCAATCAACTGGTTTTTTTTTTGTTGTTGTTGTTGTTGCTGCTGCTGTTTGTTTTTTTTGAGACAGGGTTTCTCTGTGTAGTTTTGGTGCCCATTCTGGATCTCGCTCTGTAGACCAGGCTGGCCTTGAACTCACAGAGATCTGCCTGACTCTGCTTCCCATGTGCTGGGATTAAAGGCATGTGCCACCACAGCCTGGCAATCAACTGGTTTTGACCTCTGAATTTTTGGTTCCTCAGTTAGGATCCTTTCGCAGGTGGCTAACTAGTAGCCCCAGTGACTATTCTCTACGTGGGTTTAGGGTCAGAGTGGCAGGTACTGCTTCCCTCAAATGTGTTATTTGAAATGAAGGTAGGCAATTCCTGCAAGACCCCTCATTAGCAAAGCAAATGCTTTACCTTGCCAGCCCAGAGCTCCCATGAACTTGCTCCTGGAGATTGAGAGCAGCTTCCCATGTGGAAACTGAGAACTACCTGGGGCTCAATTTACAGGCTCTGTTCATATAACCTCTCATTCCAGGAATGGGGTAGGTAGAACTCTTATTTCGGGTAGGTGGTTCTCTGGGGGACTTGGCACAGCCAAAAGGATTCAGGTTCCCAACAGGAAGAGGCACAAATCTTAATCGGCAGGAGTGTCCTCATACCAGAAAAAGCCACTGGTCCTTAAAAGAAAACAAAACTGACAGAAACACATAGAAAGACATAGAAACACACACAAATGCAAACACACAGGCAGAGAGAGAGAGAGAGAGAGAGAGAGAGAGAGAGAGAGAGAGAGAGAGAGAGAGAGAGAATGAGATAGTGCTTGAACTGGATTTAAGACAATAGAAAATCTATTAGCCAGCTGGCAGAACTACATGAGGTGTTCGGAATTCCAGTGCAGCAACCAGCCTTTCTCAGGGTGAGCTTTTAAGCACAAAAACCATATTCTGGGTTCACAAACTTCAGTTAACAAGAACAGTTAGGCAGAAGTGGCACCACAGAAGCCAAAATGTTACTGTATTTCAAGCAAGGTTTGAACACTTAGAGGTATTCTGGGAACTATGGACTTTGGTGAACTAAGCCTTTGTTTTATTTTTGGCAGGGGTTGCTGTTTTTTTACACAAGTGCTGCGTTTTATTCCCTGAATGGTACTTCCATCATGGAGACAGTTGTACTTAGGTATGGGAGCCTGCTAACGCCTGGGCCCTGTTACACAGGTGGGTCTGTGCACCATGAGCATATGGTGCCCTTAGAAGCCAGAAGAGGCTGTTGGATCCCCTGGATAACTGGAGTTACCGACTGTTGTCAACTGCCTTGAGCATACAGTGAATTGGATGCCAGTCTTCTGGAAAAGTATCTAACACCTTTTACTGCTGAACCATTTCTCCATTCTATCACAATTACTTTCTTAAAGATGATGAAAAGCTCTGAAAGACCAGTTCATTCTCTAAAGCTTTGGCATCTGAAATATTTTAGCTGGAATTCAAGTGGTAATTTGGTTCATGCATTTTTCTTCATTTTTTTTCTTGTTTTTTTTTTTTTTGTTTGTTTGTTTGTTTTGTTTTTCGAGACAGGGTTTCTCTGTGTAGCTTTGCGCCTTTCCTGGAACTCACTTGGTAGCCCAGGCTGGCCTTGAACTCACAGAGATTCGTCTGGCTCTGCCTCCCAAGTGCTGGGACTAAAGGCATGTGCCACCACCTCCAGGCTTTCTTTGTTTCTTTAATTCTTTTTCCTTTTTGACAACTTGTCACTCTCTTAGAAGGTGCTCTATGGACCAAGTTAACTCAGACTCCCAGAGTTGAGTCAGCCTCTGCCTTTAGACTACTGTGATCAAAGCCATAGACTATGACATCAGGCCTGGTTCATGAATTTCTTTTTAATCACAGTAACCACATTATTAGTCTTATAAATGATATTGAAAGTTTGTCTTTAACATTAATTTAAATAACAGACTTTATTATTATTATTACTAATACTATTATAATTATGTTGTTATTATTATTATTAAGTTGTGATATGATCTCACTAGGTAGTTTTTTCAGGCATAGAATTATTGATGTAGACCAGGTTGGCCCCCAAGGTTTATACTCTGGGAATGCTGAGATTAGAGACATGAACCTCCATGCCCTGATACAACAAAGCATGAGTAACATCCACCTCAGAATCTTAGTGTTATTTATTACTAGGTGCAATATTAAGCTGCACTGTTTACTATGTGAGAAAAGCCACGAGGTATGACAAAACCCAATATAAGAGTTTATAAGGGAAGGGAATAAGAAAGATGTGCATAGGCCTATGGAATGACCGTGTAGGAAGAGGGGAGAAATAAGTTGAACCCACTTTTATAGGAACCCTGCCTGCATATGTGCATATGGGCTTAAGTAGCTATGCCATGCATGTGCATAGATTACATGTTCATGCAAATTACAAGATCACACAGTGCATGGATTACGTATTGTACAAGGCCCTGGGATGACTAAGCATCTTGCCAGGTGCGTGTGGTCATGTAGCTGGGGGAATGGCTAGGCAATCTAACATTCCAGACTCTTCGTTTTTTTATAAAAAATAATGGTGGGTAAACGGGAATGGGGACGTTGTGTCTCCGGAAACTGCTTCCAGTTGACTCGGTTAGCATCAGTTAACTTTTGGGGGTAGGGAAGAGGGCTTTTGGGGTAGCCACATGTCCTGAGGTAGTGGATTGTCCTCTGCTGCTTTGGGAAAAGTTCATTGCCTTCTACTGCTTCAAGCTCTGTGACTGTTTGGGTCTGACAAGGTGCTGGCAAGGCAGAAGAGGGAGTTTAGAATTTTTTTTTTTTACCTTGGTTGGGGTCCAATGGGGTCCCAGGGTGAGGGAGGAGGGTCCCAGGATCAGAAAAGTTTGAATTATATTTATCTGAAGTGGATCTGACTTGTCCAGGTGGATTCAAGCTGGCTCTGGAGCTTGAAAAAAATTTTAAACATATTAAGAAGCAGCCACAGGGAATTTAAAATTTTGAGCTGGTAGTCATGATATTATAATGTTTAGTACTCTGCTATCAGAATTTTATTGGTTAGTGTTAGCAAGGGGGGGCGGAGCTGGAACATGCTTTTTTCTGAGAAGTTCAGAAATGCCAGGCTTAAGTCCCCTAAGGATCTAGAGTGAGAGAGGGTACTGAGCTTGAGTAACGTACCTGGTAGGGTCCTGCAACTGGATAATACAGAAGGGTTCTGGGTGTCTCAGACTTTGGGGTCCACCTGAGAGGCTGGCAAGGGAAATGAAATGTTAGAGCTAGTAGGATGGGTGGCTAGGAGGAGGAGGAGAGGAGCTTCTGACAAGTCTGAGGTAAGTCAAATGGGAGGAGCAAACAAAATAAAAGGTCCTACCTTAGCTAGACAATCTCTTCCCATTAGGGGCACAGGGCAGATTACAACAACTAAAAATGTATGGGTGAAAGGGATACCCCTGAAAATACAACTAATTGGTAAGGTCTGGTTAGGTAGGTAAATCTCCCTACATTGACATAGGGAGATGAGGAGAGGTGGGACCCCAAAACTCCCTTAGGATTGAGTGAGTGGCTCCAGCACCAAAAGGAAGGAAGTGGATCACTCCGATACTGTCATGGCTACCCTAGGTTCCCTGTGAGAGATGGCTGTGGTTGGGCAGGGAACAGGGCACCTTCAATCCTTGAAAATGGCCAAACCTAGGAGATGGGCTGGCGGGTAGTCTCTGTTTGATGTCCCCATGCCAGTGGTGCACACGGGCATTCAGCTGAACATTGTCCCTCATGGTGGCACTTTGGACAAGTGGCCACTCATGGGGCAGGGTAGGCATGAGCCCAGTGGCCTTCTATACCACACTTAATACAGGGACCCGGAGGCCTTCAGGCAGCTGGTTAGATAGCTTCTGTCAGCATTTGGCAGTCATGTCTATGGGCTTTTTCATCTCTCCCATGGTACACCTTAAATGCTACCACTAAGACTTCTGCGTGTGGGGACAGAGGCCCTCTCTCCAGATGCTTAAGTTTAGCCCTAATGTCAGGGAAGCTCTGGGAGACAAAGTGGGTCATAAGGAGCTGTCTGCCCTCTGGACTCTCAGGATTAAGACTTGTATATTATAAGAGAACCTTTGTAAGCAGTTCTAGAAAGTGAGACAAATTTTTTTTTTATTATCTTGAATTACATTTTTTAGCTTTTCATAATTTACTGGTTTGAGGACAGCTTTATGAAGACCTGCCAGGAGGCAGGTTGTAAACCAATCCCTAACTAGAGAACCACCTAGGGTATTGTAATTATTGGGGTAATTATTAAGGCCACTCCACGTAGTTAAAAGGAGATTTATTTAATGGCGTAACTTACAAATTAAGGGATAGGTAGGTCGCGGGGTCTGGGGAAGGTGTATCACAGTCCAGCGGTGTTCTCTCGACCTCTGCTTGGTCCACCTCCATTATCCAGGGTCTCAGCACGGAGAGAGCGCTCCCTGATCCAGATCTTGGGTCTCCAGGTGCCTCCCTTGGCCCTGCCTTGTAGGCATGACAGTTGCCAAAGTCTCAATGGGG